AATTTTTGGGTGAAAAACTGGAAAATGTGGGAAATCGGTAGCTAAGTGTTGGGGAAAGGGGGGGGTCGTGCCTACACCACCATTTCTTTTCACACATCACAATGCTGCACCCTGTATGACAAGCGATCCCCCTTGCTACCGTATTTGCCACTGAAACCAAATAGAACTTTGATGTACGGATAGGCTCTTTCAAACGGTGTTCCAGTTCGCAAAAAGGTTCGCCGTCATGGAGGCACCAGTCAGTGCTAAGTTAAGTTTGTACAGGCTACTGTGAAGACCTTCACGTAACTTCCATTGACCAAAGTGGCTTATTTGAATAATTTCGAAGCTTCACAGGGGTTCACAGGTACCAAATTGAAACCTGTTAGTTAACATGAGCTGACAAACGAAACGAACAAAATCGCAAAATGACCCCTTCAAGCCCAACAGCACCCAAATATTACAGTTCTTTCATTTGCCTTTTCTGTACACACTGTATAGCCCTCAATAACTCTGTAATGATTTTTAAGGGAAAAGCACTGGGCATCGTAGCTAAGTTCCAAAAAACGGGAGCTGTCACAGCCTGTCTATTCCTGAGTCGTCTCAGTGAGCAGTTTACAACAGTACACGTAGCGTGCACATCCGTGTGTATTACAATGGAACGTTCACAAAATACGTTCCGCTGTAGATTACGCAACTTCGAGAAACGCTTTCTGGTGTGTTTGATAGAGCCACTGGAGATCTTTTTCCTTTCCGATAAGGTTCCATCGTAAAACTGAGTATAGGGATTCCACACATTCCTCTGTAAGTAAATACGGCTGATATGTTGGTTGAACTACCGTATTCCGTCCATCTCACAACTCCGCAAGTTCTCTGTTAGCCGTGGCTCTTCAGCGAGGCGGATCCTCGTATTCACTTTCAGTGACACAAGGTGGATCAGATTGGGATGAGTTTGAGTTTGAGCCTCAACCACTCTCAAAACTGATCTCACAGCGTTCCGTTCTCACAGACGAATCCCAAGTGTTAGAGTCAAGTGGTACGATAAGTAAACAGCATCCGATCACCCATCCGGAACCGGTGAAGTTGCTGTGTAAAAAAGATCCCAAGTAATCCGATGTATTATTGATCATGGCATTCCCAACCCGTTCGAGTGTAAAGCATTCTTGTCAATCAATCACCTTGAGAACTGGTTGAGCGTCCATATGCCACCCCCAAAAGCTGAGTCAGCTAGAAGCTATGTACTGGATTCTATTCCAATGCTGGGATAACATATGCAGGTAGAGAACGTCTTACCTTCTTATAAACACTTGAAAACTTACGCAATGTTTGACTTACCACTAGTGCTCGAGAATTTCAACAAAATGAAATCAGGGATCGGAAAGCTGCCTCCACGCAAATCATCCTTCGCGCAGGAAAGACTTGGCCCCTGATAAAACCATTTAGGCGCTGTTCGGCTAGGAGGGAGCATTTTGCACTCTTACTAACTCCTTTTGTTTCATTTAAAGGCACGGTCCGCGATCAGGTATCGAAGTTGAAAATATGGCGTCAGGAGGTTAGAGTGGTCCGCGACGAACAACCTTGTACCGGTTTCGCGGCAAAAAATTCTAGGGAGGGGCGCTATAGCGCAATATAGGTTCAGTGTTTCCTCCTTTTTCCCCAGTGTTCAGTGGTTCCTCCTTTTTTCCAGTGACTCTGCCTCCAGACTCCGCCTCCAAAGCCCGGCTTTCACTGAAAAACGAGATTGCAGGACGAAAAAGCATGAAAATCGTCACTTGTACGATCGTAGAGTTCTTATCGGTGAATCAGCTGTGCGTATGAGGGCGTAGTGTGGGAGATAGAGTTAATTGGGCACGTACAAACTGGGATCAAAATGGGGTTCTATCTAGGGCAGGTGGCATGTTTTTTGTGCTTTTTTTCTTCACTGTCGAGTTACTCAACCCCTTGTCGTCTATATGGAACCCCCTAATCCACTATCTGGGATGGCGAGTAATCGCGGGTTCTGCCTTTAAGTAACAAATCTCGCCTTGATGAAGCCCTTGCGAAAGGGTTCGACTGAGCATTTTTGGTCTTAGGAATTTTCAGGCCTTCTCGAAGTGCCTTCAACAAACTCAATTGGTTGCCGTTCCGTATCTCCACTAAGCCTAACCGTGCCGACATTCATCTGTCCCTACCGTTGTGGCCTCGTGGATCTTTCGGTATGCACACTCCGCACAGAAAGATGGAGGAGGCGTGGCCGCGTACTCCATCAGAACATAGCGTAGGATTCCTTTCTTGTAGCACACTGTCGTTTGAGCCCAGTGCACGTCGTTCGCTACGGAATTCCATGCAGGGGTTGTGTGTGGCCTGAAAAATTTTTCTGAAAGTACCTTTTCTCTATTTCACGCGAGCTATTCACAACGTCGGGAGATCCTCATGGGGGTCTCCCAACGTTGTGGATAGGTCGCGGGGAGGAGTACGCTGGTCGTGTTGGGGGAGTCATTGCTACCATTGCAATTTCTTCAACACTACGTGCCTGCCTGCCTAAAGAGGAGAGGCGTGACAATTAAGAAGGTACAGTGGATGTCGTCGCGATTAAGCATCATATCGGTGGTGGCGTGAAATGAGCCAACCCGCGGGGTTTTCCACCATCGCTTCTTTTTCACGTGAATTGGCCACTCTTGGTAGAAAACGCAGACAAGAACTCATTCTCCTCTGATATCGGCGATATCAGGTATACATATGTAGTTGAGGCACAGCGACGGGGGGGGGGGGTGAGGGGCAATGCTTGCACTTTCGCTACTTCCCATGGACCTGTCGACCCATCTAGACAGCCTCTTCTCGAGTTGACAGGTTTTACCATGATGGCTTGACGAGCTTGCTCCAGCTTCACAAGAGTTCACAGGTTTCACCAGAGTGAGACTTGTAAACCGGAACTAGTGAAGCAACGAAAGTGCAAAATGCCCCCGTAGCCGAACTGCGCCCAGCTGAGCGTCTCTACCCGTGAGAAGTGAACTCCTTCTAACCTAATGAAGGCAGCTCAAAAATGTGTAGCGAGCGAATCGCAAATCTGGCTCGGCGCTGCTGTGCGATACCATGGACCTACACGTAACCTAACCCACGCCCCAGTTTAGCCTTCTTGAAAAGGTTTCACTAGGTATATCAAAACTGAATATAGCAGTTTCTCCTACTGACTGAATGCAGTAGTGCTCAAGGCGTATGGGGTCTTATAATCTCTTGCATTTTTAGGTCTATGCCAGAAGCCCTGCCGTGCGGGATATTGGCACAAAAAGGTGGTTGGAAGGCAAATTAACCGCTTACAATCCGTCTCAGTTCCACCAACGAACTGACTATCGACCATCATACGAACGTCCACATGTGCCGCAAAGAAACTACATACGGTAACTGCATGACGATTATTCCTTTAATCCTTCTGCGAATAACACTTTTCAAAAGTTTTTATTAAATTTATTGCGCTTGTAATTTAGAAGTCTTTGATTGATATAACTTGATACTGGCGCAAGGAGTGAACAAGGTACAATTGGAATAAGAGGAATGGCGTTGTCGGGCGACCCCACCCCAGTTTTCCCCAAATTTTCCACCGCTTTTTCTCAGTTTCCCGACGCAATATGGTATAAACATTGTTCTCAGGCCATATAGGGAACTGAATGGAGGGGGGTGGGGTCAGCAACAAAAAATCTCTTTCACCGCTCGAAAAAATCTCCATAAAGACCAGATGCGATTCCCTTCGACTCGACCAAGCACAATCCGCTCCCT